TTGTCCTTTTAAATTATTAAAATATATTCAATCTTTTTCATTGGGGATATTATCTTGCAAGTTTGCTCGCTAATTATTAGTTGACATAAAACGAATTCCAAATCATCTATTGGTAAATTTCCCAACGCTCGCTATCTGCATTTAGCTGCATAATGTCATTACTTATCTGAACGAACTGCGATGTCGCCGAAGCGCTAACGCCGTTCATCGCTTCACGACACCGGTTTTTTTCCTTCTCCCTTTTCACGATGATAAACTGACCTGAAAAATTCTAGCGCCGCCGCGTCAGTAATACGATTGCGAATTTAATATTCCACAATTCCGGGTAGACACCCAAGCCGCGCATCGCTGTGCCGATGCCCGTTTTATTTATTGACGACGAGTGAAGAATTATATCGCGTTGAGAGAGGCGATCGCGAGTTTCTATGACAGATGCGGCATGTTTTGTGTGCGTGACGTGACGATGGTGTGCTTCAGATTCTCAATAGCGTACGTGCAAGAAAACCCCATGAAAATGGAATAAATCGTTGCCATTGGCGTTTGAAAACTACCATTGTCAAGTAAAAGTCAACTCCGCCTGATTGTTAATTTTATTTTCTCGTTGCCGTTGTTGTATTTTACGCGTTGGCATTGTGAAAGTCTCGCAATTAAATGCTCGCGTTCGCTCGAGCTCCACCAAAATTTCAACAAAAAGCGGACGTTCTCCACTAAAAGGATGCGCGTTGTATAACACGCTACTGCAATCGGCCCAAGGTCGTTTCAGAGTAAATGCAATTTCGCGAAACTCCGATGCTCGCCGTTATTTCTCAACGGTATTTCTCGGCGCGGCGAACCAAGGGATCAAACTCGTTATACCAATTATTTCGATCATAGCTAAATAAAAGTTAGCCCGATGTTCCATTAAAGTCTCCGTGGCGAGATAGTGTACATCTGACGACGCACGCCAAAGGGTTAGCGATTATTCGGAGATAAGTTAGTTCGTGGCGAAAATATTCGGTTAAGGTCTTCCAGGAGAGTGTTTCGGGGATGGCTCGAAACGAGGCCAGACCGATCCTGGCCCCTTTAGATTATCAGAGCTTTTTCCTGGCCATACGCCAACGGTCACCATGGTAACCTTCTTAAAACGTATACTTGGTATACTCGCACCCCCACCTTGTCGTTTCTTTATGGGGAAACCGTCGTCGCCGATTCATCGAATCAAGCTGTTGCCTTCAGCGACTTGTGACATTTGGAATCGTTTCCCTTTCCCAGAGATCGAATCGTATCTCTGTCTCGTCCGTCTCACCCGGCACCTACCGGATAGAGCGTGTCCCGAATCGCGATAGTGTACATCTCGTTACATCCCAAGTCCGCTTCAAAGCAGACCAGCATATCGGACTCAAACGACGGCTGATGTCAATAGATAGCTACGAAATTGCTCAATATGTGGTTGAACGTATATGCTGTAGCCGTGCATGAATTATACGGCATTTGCTTGAGAAAATACTCTAGTTTATCTTTTTTATTCTCAACTTTAGCAGAATTATAAAATATCTAACTTTTTATACACATTTAAATATTTTTATACTTATAAATTTAATGTATAAATAACTTTTCGAGTGATAAATTATATATTGATAATTTTTCATTTCTCTGGAATCTATTTGATTTAACGATATGTGGCAGAACTAAGAAATATTTTTACATGAGCGATTAATGAAATTTAACAGACTATCGTTATGTTATCTGCTACGTAAGTTTTTAGTAATTTTGACTAACATAGTTTATTACAAATGATTAAATTTCTTATGAATCATTTATTTCAACTGCGATAATTAGTTTAAAGATGTTTTGACGATCGAGCATTTTACTTACATTTAACATGACATCATGGAATTATTTCATACATATATTTTACACTGAAGAGGACCCAATATCAGGATTGAAACATCCTGTATCACATTTTTCAAAATACATTGAACTACGCACGAACAACTGGTGTCGGCTTACATTTGGCAATTCCTTTTTTACACCAACGTATTTAATTGTTTAATTTATTTGGAGAACCTTTTCGTATTTCTAATATTATATTGTTAATGGAATTTAAGTTAATTTAATTGTGTTAGAAAATTTTTTTAATCTATTATTTGACAAAAATTTTTGAGCTATAGTCAGTGTACAGCGTTAATTTATTGTTAAATAAACTTTTAAAAATAATAATTTATATGAAAATTTTTTGTCAGAATCAATTAAATCAATATGTAAATTAATAAATATGTAAATTAATAAGTAAATTAATGTCTCTATTTGTGTTTTATTACATTTTAAAAAATATTAAGGAGTAATCTACATATTTATAAAAAATAGTAAAAAAGCCAGGATTTTTAAATTTCTGAAGCGTAATACACGTTAATTTACAGTTGCAATCGCGTTTCTCTTGCCCTCAATCCTAGACATAGTTGGTTTCAATTGGCTGAGAGGGCTGGCGGTGATCCTACTGGCAATTTGCTGCCGTCTGACAGCTTGTTTCGTGTAATGTATGTACGTTTGGAGAACAAATTAGCCGACAGTCCATTCGTAGATCAAGTTACCAGAAATTGACCCAGTATGTGTCCGTAATCGATACTACATATTAGTCTTCAAGTGATATTTGCGTAGTATCAAGAAATAAACATTAATTAGTACATAATTCACTTTCTCAAAGATTGCTTATAATTTTCAATAAAGAGGTTCTCCTCTCATAAGTATAGAAATTATATATTACTCTTTAATTTATTAAAAAAGAAAGAAAATGATTTATATCTTATATTTAATTAAAACATAACAATGGGAATTTGTATTATTCGATCCCTTAATGCTAACTACTAGGCATACACCGGATCGTAAAATTACCGGATACTGGATATCGGATATCCGGATGGAATGTAACCTCAGATATTCGAGAAGGCAATTTCTTCGAGTCGGATATCCGACATTTTTCGGATACCCGATTGGATTTCGGGAAACTGTCTTCTAAAAAAAAAAACTATAGAGAAAAATTGTAATTTTGCAATAATATATAAGATATTAATATGGCATTATGAATATGCATACTTATTTCTAAAACATTTGTATAATAACAAATCAACAATTTAATGATATAAAATTTCAACCGGATATATTTCCGAATACTAATGATATCCGGTTGTAAAAAAGTGCTGGATATTATCGGTACCGGATACTTTTCGGATATCCGGTGCATCCCTACTAACTACTTTATTACAATAATTGAAAACCGATTGTATTCGTTCGTTATAATAATAATATTGTCATTTCTGGAATCTACGAAACTATATTTTACAATTTCATTCTAATTAACATGCGTAAATTCAATTTTAACCGTAGTGTCTACACATGCACAGAATTTATAAAAACTACATCGCATTATTTAATCGCAGACTAAAATTCGCAGGCAGATAAGTGCAACGACGTGGAAGCAACATTGCGCGGTGATGAATGTGGTCCTTTTTTATTCAAGCGTGACATTTAATTACAACACAGACTCGACACTAGGTTTATAAAGCTTACAACACGATTTCTCGTATAATGAAATGTGTGCAACGTATTTGGAACGCCGTCTACACGAAACATTAGTGTAAATAATCAATGATACTATAATGTTAATTAAGCCAATCTCCATTGTTAACCCATAGCAATTAATTAAATGATTCCGTCTCTGTCTGTACACTCAAATTAGGGCAACGATGATTCTCGCGGAAATTCCGATGTTCGATACAAAATTACCGCAAAGCGTTGTGGTATCTGCGGTGAACCACAAGCTGCCGCTCATCAGTGGTAAAACCCTGATTATTTTGTTCATAATCATGCAGGAAAGACATGTACATATCTCTAGGATAAACTAATTGACAATTCAATCAAATGCAAAATTATTATTAATCAATACGTTACTATTTAATATTTATATATGTACCTATATTACTATTTATATATGTATATTTACATTACTAAGGGAGGACATACACCTAAAAGGATCAAAAAGAGATGTTTATCTTTATTAATTTTTTTGCGAAGTCTGTTAATTTTATTCAAACAGGATTTTGAACAATATTTTACATATACATATTAATAAGTGTTATATAAAATTTTTACTTAAAATGTCATGCACAACTATTCCTGTAAAAGCTTATCTGTAGCGGTAACATCCTAGTTTTTCAGTTCATGTTCAGTTTATCTAAAACAAAACACACCCAACAAATTCTTGAAAAAAAATATTAATAAATCTAATCTTTTTATTATAGCTGATTTTAGATATTTTTAATTTTAACAATATGGCGGACGTCTATATTTAAACAATGCAATTTTTCATAAAAAAATTGTTCGTCTTTTATTGTAAAAAACTATAATTCTAAACGAAATCCGTATAACGAAGACTATGTTACCATGGTTACCGTAAATTGCTATTGCAATATGGACAAGTTTTGCGCTAACAGTTCTACCGGCAATTTTTATTAATATAATATTTTTAATTAAAAATTTTATATAACACTCACCAAAATATGTGTTTGGTGAAAATTAGCTGAAACCTGTTTTAAGTTAATAATTTTTACCAAAAAATCATAAAAATCAAATATCTTTTTGACCTTTCTGGATATGTTTTTCCTTAATAAATTATTCTTAATAATGAGCGATGTAGTGATAGATATACTTATATATATAACCTCTATTCTTAATTGTTACTTTCTTTTAATAAATTGAAAAATATTTGTAGAAGATTTATAAAAAATTAAAAGGAATGTAATGATTGTGAGACGCTGCTTACAGTAGATTCTTTTTTATGCTCTCTCAACTCATCAAAACTTCTCGCCTATCTGATTTGTCTCGCTGCTTGTCAACCTATGCACTTTTTCAAGAAGTTATAACTTATTTTATTTGAAAAGGCTGAGAAAGAGAAAGAAAGAAAGAGAGAGTGTGCGACACTTGAAGAATCTCGTTTGCTCTTTCGGAAACTTTTACTGTTCCAGGCACTCCTTAGGGGCGCTTTGACTCAACAGAGTGCTGTTATCCTCGTCTGCATGGCAATCGACCGTTATGTTTGCATGCTGCACCCTCATCGCTATCACAAGCACTCTTCTAAAAGGGTAAGGCTATTTTGCTATCTGTATTCACTTAGCAACTAATAAACTATTAATTACTAATAGACTCTTACATATTTCACTTATTGGTATTGTAATAACAGTTGAACAACAAATAACATTTTAGAAATTGTTATGTTTCTACTATTAACATCCTTTATTATGAATTACTCTTATTTTAAAATTTCTATTTTTCACCTTTAATATTAAATATTAAAACTTCAATCATTTTCAATGACTGATGCGTATTAACAATTTTTATCCTTTGGTATTTTTATTTTATAATGAAATTACGTAATCTCTAATTATTATAAATGTTTAAATAGAAATAATATATTCATATTTACTATTAAAAATAAAACGCATAGAAAGTTTACCTTACAACCAACATTTTTGAGTTGTTATTATAATAGAATCTCAATTTTTTTATGATTGTTTCTTACGGAATTTCGTATCAACCGATATTACCAAGTCACACTTGTTTCAAACGTTTCTTCTGTCTGCAGAGATTCATTCATCGAACTATTCATTCGATCTGTCGACAATCCTAAAATTTGCTCTTGTTAAACACGATGTGAAGTGAAACGATCGAATAATTGATTGATTAGAGACAATTGTCGTTTCAAGCTAAAATAACTGTTACTCAATGAAAATAGTAGGTAGTAGAAAAACTTGTTCAATTCGTTTGAATTCACAAGAAAATAGAACTCATCGTAAATCGGTTATTGATACAATCATTTCGTTTCATGAATATAATATGAGGATATTTGACGATATTCGTATTCATGAATCTGGGGAATGAAAATATTTCTCGTTACACGTTACAATCACCTTATTCATAAGATACGACAATCCGATATCAATCGTTCGTAATCATGTGAGTTTAAAGGATAAAGATATTTCTCGTTACTTTTGAAGGTTTATTAATATCGACGTAGCTAAAATATCGATACCCCGATGCTATGTTCATAGAACATCTTTTTCAATCCTGTGCCCATTATATATATATATATATATATCACACAGTGATATTTTAGATACATAATATAACTTAGTAATATACGTCAAATATAGACATAAAAGACACATTGAAATGAATATTAAAAAAAATTGAAAGCTTAACAGAATAGAGAGTAGGAATTTCAAAAAATAATCTTTTAGTCTCTTTGGGATTTAGAATATCTCACGCTACTCAGCGATGAAATAAAAATAATAGCAATCTATTTTATTACCATAACGAAGGAGTGCAAAAATTAGTAAACACATCCACACTGTTTTTATAAATGGAATATTGTTTATCTTCTTTATTCTTTTTTATATAACTAAAAATCGTAGAATACATATATTTATACATATATTGTCCACATATTTTTCCCAAAACTATCTCTTTTAAATATTTCATATAAAAAATAAAATGTAAAAAGAACACGTTAATATTCATTGTAGATTACATACGTGGATACGTTTTATGTGATATAATTTATAAAGAGTACCGGACAATTTTATAAAGTTCGCTTAATAAAGTTCACTTAAAAATAAAGCTCGTCAAAACTAACTTGTCTGAACATGCCAGGAAGCTATTAATCTGTTAAATTACTTCTGAAATTCCGACCTATCGATTACCTCAAGTTAATATAATCCAGTAATTTTGCATCACCTTTCGCGAACAGCAGCAAAAACGATCGAGCGTTTTAAAGGTAACTTTTACGTAACAACTGCAAAGTTTACGAGCGCTATTAGCAGGATCCTTTCCCGCGATCCGTAACATGCCTGTAGTTTCACACTACGGTTTGTCAAAGCTCTGACGTGGGTCAGTTTACTCTGGCTTAACCGCCAAAATGAATTTCGGAGATTTAAAAGCGCATCAAAATGCAAAGTGTCACCACGGCCTGTCATTCGTCTACCACATATCCTATTCCCTTGGCCGTAGCAATGCATCGTGTAACCAGGACAAAATTTATGTGTAATAAAGACAACAGAGTGGTTAAAAAATATCCTATCTCTAACTTTGGAGTAGTTATAAAAAAAAATAATGTAATAAATTTAACGTAATATATCCAAATAAAAATAAAATCAATTGTGATTAAGAACACTTCACAAATCGTTTTAATCAAGAGCGTTTTAAATAAAAAGTAAATAAAAAATTATTTTAATTTTCAAAAGTATTCAAAAGTAAGAAGGACTGCTAGAAAATTTTCAACTTTTATATACGTATCACCAACGGATTCACCGACTTCGAAGAATATGGTTTTCCAGCGCTATATGCACAATGGACTTTTTGCCTTTACCATTCAATATATATCTCCCGCTATTTTATAATTCTCCTTTTGTTTCAAAAAATGTGCAATTCGTTACCTACATTTTAATTTTATCTTGACGTTGTAATTGATAGGATGGTAATTTTTACTTACAAAAACTTCCCTATATCCTATACGCGATTTTTACTTATACAATTATTAAATTACCATTTTCTTAGATTTCAATTATTAAATATCAAATATTCCAAATTTATTAACTAATGATTTTAAGATTTATAAATTTATAATATATGTATATTTGTAAATATATTATTACTATATTATTTTGATATAATATTTTTTGTAATAAGCGCTTTACAAATTTTTTTAAGATACATGTAATAGCATCATTATTAAATTGACGAACAATTGAATTATAAAATTTTATTTCAGTTTCAATTTATGATTGCATTTCAAGTTCGATAGTAAGCGGCAAGTAATTTATATAACTGAAAAATGCATATATAGAATATTATATATAAATTTATATAAAATATTATATTAGACATTATAAAGGTCTAGTCTCGATCGTACTGGCTCTTTCCTTACTTATTTGATTTAGATTTTATTTATAACTTATATTTGCAAAAATATTGCACTTTTTATCATAAATGATATTATCCTACAAAAAAAATGTTTTAACAATTTTAGCTATTTTTAATGTATGTATTTTTTTCCATTTTTCAGAGCATTATGTTATAATTTTGAGAAAAATGGCGTCAAAGTATAAAAAAAAAACAATTTTGAGGGTTTTCATAACGTTGTAATATTAATAACAAAATTTTTTCAAAATTTCGTTAATGCTACACAAAAGTATTAACTTTTAGCTTTAAAATTCATTTCGTTTTGTTTCAGTATGATTTTTCATTTTCGCGATATAACAGTTTAAAAATTAACCATATTATAATTTATCAATTTCATATCCTTTTTTTTACTTATCTAATTATATAAATATAGTATTATGTAAGTATAAAAGAACCTGCGTTTTACATAATATATACTATTAAAACGAATAAATCTTCCACTATCTTTTCCACGTATTACATGGAAAAAAATTTATTTTAAAATTAATATATAATATAATACGTATAATATATAATACTCGAAAACGAAAAATCATACCGAAAAGAAACGAAATGCATTCTCTAAATCTGAATCAGTGGATAATCACTAATATCAGTGCCAAGTATGCCACTGGTAATCAGTGAATTAAATATGAGATTCCTAATCTAGCTAATCTTTATTATGTGATCTAACTAACCTTGTTTTAGTGATTAAATTCAATGAATATGGTATTGGAAGATTGAAATTAATGTGCTTAAAATATCAGTACTTTAGTCATATAATGCTCAAATATTCTTTCTTTTTTAATTGAACTTCACTAATTATCAGTGCCAAGTATGCCACTGGGTAATTAGCCACTGACTATCCACTGATTCAGATTTAGAGAGCATTTTAAAGTTAAAAATTGATACTACGTGTCATTGAAAAATTTTGAAAAAGTTCTTAAGATTTTAGAAATTTAGGAAAAGAATTTATTGCCGACGTTACATCATAAAAAAAAATTATCGTTTTTATCTCTTTAACACCATTTTTCTTAAAATTATAACGTGATAGCCAAATTTGAAAAACATATTCGTGTTCAATATTTAAAAAACTACGGGAAACGATAAATAACCAGCAAACTCTTTAGCAACAATGATGTGGTATCTTAAGTTGTTCTTTTTTCACAATAAAGATTGCACACATTGTGAATAGAATAAAATAATAGAGTAAAATAATAAAATAAAATAATAGAATAAAATAAAAGAATGAAATAGAATTGCCATTTGCACAATCACTAAAGTGAAAAAGAAAGCACAACGTATAAAAATCAGTGGCAAAAGAAAGGCGTCCGACGAATCGCTGAGTCGTATCTTTCATTCATTCCGTAATTTTCCGCCTATCGAACGTTTGGCCGCTCATCGAATTCTAGCAAACTTTAACTCTGTCTCTTTTTACATTCAACCGATAGAAGCTGTTGTTTCTCGACTTTGATTTCATATTTGCTCTTATCGTATTATTATGTTAGTTCGCAGATAGAGTTTCGTGTTACATCAGCTTTAGCCATATTTGGTGCAATATTGAGCGAGCTACAGCTCGTATTTAGTTCCAAGTTCTCAACAACTTGGTCTTTAGCCCTTTGTTTCTAGTGTTCACAATGCGCGGAGAATATCAGCCCTTACACTATTTTAGACGGATCGATAACTTCGATAGTATTTTCAGAGATTCTCAACACAGAACTAAGATGCAACTGTATAGGATGGCATCTATATTATGTATGGATTTGTCATTTTATGTATTTTTAGCATTTCTTTAAGTATTATTCGCGAGTATAGCTGTTATTTTCACATAATCACAATTATTAAATTTCATTTCACAATATTGTTAATATATCTTACATTGAGTAAATCATATTTAATTTAAGAAATAAATTTTGTGTTAAAAAATGCTAATTTTAATTTTCCTATTTTCTACTAGTTATATTTACACATGTATGGTCCAAATAAGATTCTTATTGTTCTTTTTAACGTTTTAATATTTTTGCATGTTTCAGAAAGTCTACTATATGTCTTTAAGTTAAAATTAACATTTTATTCTTATAACAGTTTACTTTTAAAGATAAACATTTGATTGTTTTCAATACACAGGAGAGGATATGAAAGCTTTTACGTATTGATAAATTATAAATTTTGAAGTTAAACATGAAGAAAAGGAAAAATTATAAAGTTTGTCCTCAAGAATATATGTCTTAAATTATGTGTTAAGTTTGCATGTTAAATTTGTACTTTTTGGTATTATCTCATATTTATTAAATGCAAAAAATGAGAAAACGCTAAGAAAATAATAGTTTATTTTAAATATCTATAAATATATATACAAAAATTCTGATATTTTTACATGGTACTTTTTATCGTAACGACTTTCATCTGTAATATTTCTATGTACTTCAATTTATTTTTATATTTTTTAATAATATTTTTAAGTTAATGGATCGTATCTGTAACAAAGGGAAAAAAGAAACGTCGCATAAGCGTCGATTCTTACTACTTGGAGAGCAGTAAGGTCGAATGTCATTTCATTGATCGTTTTTTGGGATCAGGACGAAGTTAATCTCGATAATACTTAACACACTGGGTTTGCGCTGTAAAAGTGGACCGTCGATAAAACTAGTTCGTGGAACTTTCTTTATTTGCTTGGAGATTTGATCAGATGAAGAGTGACTTTACTAAAGGTGCAATATATCTAAAACTAGTGTAATCGATGTATTTTTAAAAGATAATTTTTAACGCTTATAATATTTTTATAAAATTCTGATAAAAAATACCGTGTAAATATAATGCTTATAATTTTATGTATTGTAGTTTAGTATAATTTCAATGATAAATATACATATATCTCTTCTACGTGATCTTCTTCATTTTCGTTCAATAAATACAATTAAGCCGTGTTATATTATAAAATATAAAAGCTATATAAATTATATTATAAAATATATAAATTTTGAACATGCATTTAATTTAAAATACACATATTCTCGAGAAACGGCATTTTAATGATACCTTTTTATGTTCTTAAATTTTTACAACATATATATTCAACTTGAGGCTATTTGCATACATTTTATTTAATTACTATTTGAAAAATTACATCATACATTTAGATATTTGATAGAATACATAGCAGTACTTATTTATCATATACCAGTATTTAATATTTCATCTCTATTCAGTTAAATAATGCACTCTGAGATTTTTAATAAAAAAAAACAATGCATGTAATTGTTTGAGTAAACGACGTATGATATACTACAGATATAGAATGTGTGCAAACAAGCCCCGATCTGGATAAAAATATATAGACAAATACATATATGCATACATGTGCACCGTATCTATAAAACGCTCGGCGTATAGATGAAAAAGAGTGATCGTTTTCTGTCTATGTTGACACAGTATTACATGCGGCAGGGCTGCGTGGCAGTGATGTCGACCACTTGGATAGCGAGCGTGGCAATTTTCGGGGTTCTGGTACTCCCTAGAGGCGGTTACTACTTCAACGGGTCTGGCCTTCTCGCTTGCGACCCCTTCTTCGCTAGAGCGTCCCTTAGGTATCGCCATAGCGAATGCTGTGATGTGGTGATAAGCTCGACATTTCACGATCTTGCTCATCACGTTTGTTCACCACGCCGGTGACCAATTGTGGACAATTACAATTTAATCTTGAGAACGCCGCACCATCGCGTGGTCGATCGCCTTGGGACACCGAGGCGATCAACCGTGAAAGATAGCGATGTATCCGCGTTAATGTTCCCTTCCGGTACGCTTAAAGTCTGATCTAAACCGGTGCTAAATACGAAAGATCGTTACTTCGACCTATCGTAATGTTTTTATCGAATCGGTAATTTAGAAACTCTATCTCGACACTTTAGCTCAAATAGAATTATCCATTTATATTCGGCTTTTGTAAAACGTTGCTTTGGAAAAATAGAATATAAAAAAGTTTAAAATGATTTAAATGCACGCGAGATAGAGTCAACCTCACGAAGAACATTACGAAGCATATTAATTTATAAGAGAAAGTTGAAATGGATGCATCGTGATACTGTTTTTATCGTACTGTAGATATTAATAACTTTACGCACGTAACATCAGATTTTGCGTAATCTACTTGTACAAATATAATTTTATTGTGATATCATCTTCATTGCACTAGTTATATTCCCGCTTGCATATGACGCGCTAATTACTGCTTTTCTGGGCCGGAAAATGCTCTTTATCGTATCTCCTTTTTCAGGATCCTGGCGTGTTGTTGTTTTTATTTTCCGACGACGATGGTGCTGATGTACTGTTACGGCTCGGCTTTCCACGTTAACAAACTACGCTTGAAAAGAGTAGTCTGTGTTAACACGCCGGAGGTCGTTAGTGGCGGCCACATAGAAAGGGTAAGTCGCTTTGTGAATGAAGTTTAAATCGACAGTTTATTGTCAAAACATTTCGATTGGCGATAATTAACAAAACATTTCTGTAAAATGAAAAAGGAAACATTACATTGACAAATAATTTACTGTGTACATAAAAAGTGCATTACACATCACGAATCGCAAAATTGACATTCTGCAAATTAAATCGTTTGCTGCCTTTTATGTTTGAAAGAATATCACACTAAAGGATATCACTGATATACAATCTTGGTTTTTTTTTTTAAGTAACAACCACAATAATATAATAAAATTACAGTTTTGGAAATAAGTTCGTGTTTATGTCAACACTGCGGCTGCTATGTACGTGTATGGTAAGATGATAATATAGGATGATCTTTAGCAAGCACGTTTGAAACTTTATGTTTTATGCGACTCGCTGTTCGCGTCAAGTTCGTGTCCTCCGGTAAATTACGCAATGAAATTATCAAGCTTGCAAGCAGATATACCGAATAACTTTGCAAGAGTTTACGTAAGATTCCCAAGTGCATTCTCGCGAAAGAGCAGCAACTCGTAAACTAGTTTCTAAATCTGTTGAAATTTGTTGAAATACAAAAGATTCTCATAAAAGACATCTCGTAACGAATGAACACAAATTCGAGGATAGTTGGCACTAGGAAAAATCGACTAATCTTGCCACCGATATATCTCTTAAAGCGAAGACGCCAAATACCTATTCATTTCGAGGTCACAGAGACTAAAGCCAAAAGCGGGAAATACGAGAAGGGAAATAATGTGAAAGTACTCCTAATGTTCGAGATTCAGGCGGAATACTATCGATTCAAATGAAATGCAGATATAAAGAATGTATAATAGATATAATAAATAAATAAAAGCAATTATAGCGATTAATAAAAATCAGATTACATTAAATATTGTATATAATTTGGAAATGAGAAGTATCAATTGTAAAATAATATTTTTAACAAACGCTTCATATCGTAATCAAGAACATCATCGATTAACTCTATTTTTAAATCTTTATAGTGTTTCAAGACGCTCATAAGTATCAGTACTAATTGTTTGTTAATTTAAGTTGTGAATATTACATACTCTAGCTTCAGTTGGAGTATTTTAAATTTGACGAATAATCGGTACACACTTTGCATAAGGTGAAAATTGCAAAATTTACGCAAAAATATTATATTAATAAGCACCAAGATTCATCTTATCCGAATATATGATTCTCTTTGTTTATTCTCTTTGTTAATATATTTTTATTTTATTTTCTATCATATCTTAGCCAAAAATATGATAGAAAATAAAATAAAAGTATAGATAAATAAGATTTCTATCATATCTTATCCCCTTCGAATACACAACGAATCGATGTGTCCATCTGCAATGATTGCATTGTTAGTTGGAGAAACGACCGTAAACTAGCCGATATCCGCAGAAAGACGCGTAACTTCCGCCGATAGAATCCGCATTGGAAACCTCCTTGGATCGGTATCTTCGGCATTACCGGGAAGACAACTGTCCGAAGCAAGATGAATGGTCCGAACGCGGCTAAGCCAACGTCGGTTGAATTCGCTGTCGCTCGCTGTCGTCTGCGATGCATTGAATTCATCCACGATAACGAGCTTCTGAGGTTGTCTTCGTTGGCCTAAAGCTATGCGCTAGACATTGAGCGATCGCGATGGCAACACTGGCTCTATCCGCCGATCTAGCAATCCTAGAAAATAGTCGCGAAAGCTCAACAATACCTAGTAGAATGCAAACACAAGCTGGCGATCTTCCCGAATAAATGGAATTCAGAGAATCGTTGTGCATTCAAAGGGAGAATAATGTTCAATAAATGAGCGATCATAAATATTTCGAGAATAATTGTCCGGCGGCGAACATCGCAAAATGATAATGATTTTTCCATCGCAATAGTTATATTATACCTCAAATTTAAAGAATTCTTTAAATTTGAGGTATAATATAACTATTGCGATGGAAAAATTTAATAACTATTAAAGATATAAAAATTTGAAAATTGCAATAATAAATGTTTCATATTTTCAGCTTTCAATTTCGTGTAAATAAGCATGAATCATTCTCAAGAATATCAATCTTCTCTGCTAGAATTATATAAGATTTTAAAGGAAATTGCACTAATGGAAGATATGTTTGGTCAGAATCCTTTGAAGATTCTTATGAAATATTTCAAAATATACTTTACAATTTGTAGAAATACAACAAATAAACAAATGCAAAGTAATATTTCCGATGAAAGAAAAGAAAGACAACATATTTCAAAATATCTTTGTGAATAAATAATAACATTTGCTCCTGAAAATGCATCAAAAGACAAATCGTACATTCGATCGTATTATCGTCCTCATCGTATTTTTGAGTCATGCAAGAGAATCATGCAAGGATTCATATGACCCCATTTAAGTAACCCTATTCTAAAAGCTTCCTCCCCTTAATTCCGCTCTAAAAACGAATCTTATTTTGGCAAGCTACTCCGGCATGAGAGCCGACGAGCTTTTGGCTTTTTCCACCTCAACCCCGGCGTGACGCCTTCGTGGTCAGACCACTACCAACGCCCTTCTTTAGGATGTGCGCCCCAGTTTTCACGGCAAACAATATTTTTCTTCTTGTGCTCCCGGTGCTCCCTTATTCCGCGTTTCCCATCCCAGGAAATCGCATTTATCTTGACATTAGCCAGAACCATCCTGCGAAGAGGTCAGAGAGTTCCGACCTTGTTCCCACTGGGTGCACTTGCTTATTTTATTTCTTTTTTTTCCGCGCCATGTTCTGCCGTTTGATCTCGCACCATCAATAAGAAAGAAGAAAAGATTTATATCTTGTAGTGAAATTATTTCCTCTAATGTCTTTTTTATGTAAGAAGAAATTAATTAATAAATAAAAATTAAATGTAAAATTCATTAGAAGTTAAAAATTAAAATTAATTAAAAATTTATATATATGTATATATATATATATTGCAATACATATATGCAAAGTGGATGCTAAGTACTCCAAAAGGAATCTTCCTTACTCAAGATGAAAACTTCATATAACTATTTGAAACAGCTAAGTTTCAAAGATACAAGGTGTTAAAGTTGAAGGAAAAATTTTATTTTTTCCAAAAATTTCGAAAACCACTTAAGTTATTATGATGAAACTTTAAACATTTCATCAAAATAACCCGAATGATTTTCGAAATTTTTGAAAAAGTGAATTTTTTCTCCAACTTTGACACATAGTATTTTTTAAACTAACAATAAAATGTTTCGATATACGGTTATGTAAAGTTTCTTAAATTTGTATGAAGAATCACTTCAAAATCTTTTAGTATCCAATCTGTACATATACATATACATTCTTATTCTTTACATATAGAAATTATGACACAAAAATAGAATAAATATTTTTGAAGAGTCCCAAATGAATGCAGTTTTCATTTTGCGTCGGTAAGAATCCTCCAAAATCTCTAATCAAACTTCGAATCTAATAATCCCATTTTATTTCCGTCTATTATAGCCAAACTCTAAATTCCAGTTTCGATTGGAATCGTAAGTCGTTTTACCGATTCTCTAGAGCTCTGATGAAAAGAAGATTCGAATAAATCAAGAAAATTAAATGCGCGCCGATTAAGTCAATCAAAATCTGGGAGCGTTCTCAAAGAAACTTAAGCTATTTCTTCTTGACAAACGATGCGTTTAATGATAAAATCTTAAGGGCCAATCTACTTTATATATCGTTTGAATGATAATAACTAAGGATTCTTTAAAAACCTAATTTAGAGTTTAAAAGAAAGGGACCCAAAATCTATAATTTATTTTTGTCCTTAACTATATTATTATTACTCTGTTATCTACATTATAATAATCTTACGTATAATATTAAAAGATTACAATGAATTACAAGTGATTACTTTCAAATGGAGATCGATTCTATAAAAAATCGATTTTAAATTCATCAAACAATTTGTCGTTTGGATGAAAAGCGATGGTGCTGACTGCTGAATCACTCCGTTATTTTCGTGCAATTTGGGTCACATCTTTAGGGATTTTAAGTTTTAATGGAAACTAAAAAAAAATGATATTAGAAATTATTGCTTTACTTAATCTACTGTGGTTGAAGTACTGAAAAATTACCCTTTAATACCGTGAATGCACGACTGCTTAATTATTATAAATCATCTCAGTGCGATCATTAACTTGATTCAAGTGACGGTCGCATCGCGTCTATTTCTGCTACGTCACCAAGAAATTCACCTGTACATTTCTTCTTTTAGGCAATTTTCCTCATACGCGGACTAATAGCACATTAATAAAGGCTCCCGCACTAATTATACTAAAGTCTACGAAAAAACTTAACAATTTTAAACTATTTCTAATATATTCTTGCCTACTTAATACGAATCCATTTTCTTGGCTATCGTACTTTTGAGAAAAATAGCGTAAAAAGCAAAAAATTATTTCGAAGGTTTTTATGACGTAGTACCAGCAGCATTTTTTTCAAAATTTTTAATGCTACAAATGTAAATGTGCTAAAAAATATCAACTTTTAGTTTTAAAATGCATATTGTTTTGTTCTGGTATAATTTTTCGCATTCGAGATATATATAGCAACTTGAAAATAGTTACATTATACTTTTTTTGTCACTTTCATATTGTTTTTTGATTTAATATGATCCAATTATGTGCACAAGAATAGTATATTATGTAAGTACAAAAACACTTTCTACATAATGCTATCTTTTTCATGTATTATATGAGAAAAGTTATTTTCAAATTGTTGTAACTCGGAAACAGAAAATAATACCAAAACAAAACAAAATGCATTTTTAAACTAAAAGTTGATACTTTCACATGGCATTAAAATTTAGAAAAAATTTACTGCATTTGGAATTTACAAATTTAGAAAAAATATTACAACATCATGAAATCCCTCAAAATCATTTTTTTTTGTCTCTTTAACAGCATTTTTCTCAAAATAATAACATGATAGTTAACTTTGAAAAA